GTTTGGTCCTCCTGTGTACATAGTTTGGTCCTCCTGTGTACATAGTTTGATCCTCCTGTGTACATAGTTTGGTCCTCCTGTGTACATAGTTTGGTCCTCCTGTGTACATAGTTTGGTCCTCCTGTGTACATAGTTTGATCCTGCTGTGTACATAGTTTGGTCCTCCTGTGTACATAGTTTGGTCCTCCTGTGTACATAGTTTGGTCCTCCTGTGTACATAGTTTGGTCCTCCTGTGTACATAGTTTGGTCCTCCTGTGTACATAGTTTGATCCTCCTGTGTACATAGTTTGGTCCTCCTGTGTACATAGTTTGGTCCTCCTGTGTACATAGTTTGGTCCTCCTGTGTACATAGTTTGGTCCTCCTGTGTACATAGTTTGATCCTCCTGTGTACATAGTTTGATCCTGCTGTGTATATAGTTTGATCCTGCTGTGTACATAGTTTGGTCCTCCTGTGTACATAGTTTGATCCTGCTGTGTACATAGTTTGATCCTCCTGTGTACATAGTTTGATCCTGCTGTGTATATAGTTTGATCCTGCTGTGTACATAGTTTGATCCTGCTGTGTATATAGTTTGATCCTGCTGTGTACATAGTTTGATCCTGCTGTGTATATAGTTTGATCCTGCTGTGTACATAGTTTGATCCTGCTGTGTATATAGTTTGATCCTGCTGTGTACATAGTTTGATCCTGCTGTGTATATAGTTTGATCCTCCTGTGTACATAGTTTGATCCTGCTGTGTATATAGTTTGATCCTGCTGTGTACATAGTTTGATCCTGCTGTGTATATAGTTTGATCCTGCTGTGTATATAGTTTGATCCTCCTGTGTATATAGTTTGATCCTGCTGTGTACATAGTTTGATCCTGCTGTGTACATAGTTTGATCCTCCTGTGTACATAGTTTGATCCTGCTGTGTATATAGTTTGATCCTGCTGTGTACATAGTTTGGTTTAATGTATATTTCGGAGATGAAAATATGAGTGGTGTTTGTATAGTTGAAACTCAGCCTTAATGACATGTGTAGCAGACAGGATTTCATCCTAATCAACCCGCCACCACCAACCAGACTGGCTGAATAAGACACAAGTGCAATACCTGCGTATCTTTATTACGACGTTTCGTCATCTAGTAAATTTTGCACTTCAATATAGAGCTCATAGACTGGAGACAGCTGAAGATGAGGTGATCAGCCTGGGAAGGTGCTCACTCCACAAGCTTTGCTGGCTCCCAAGAATAGGCAGGAGAATATACTAGTCAGAAGAGAGTTGCAGTGGGAGTTGCAGTGGGAGTTGCAGTGGGAGTTGTAGTGGGAGTTGCAGTGGGAGTTGCAGTGGGAGTTGCAGTGGGAGTTGCAGTGGGAGTTGCAGTGGGAGTTGCAGTGGGAGTTGCAGTGGGAGTTGCAGTGGGAGTTGCAGTGGGAGTTGCAGTGGGAGTTGTAGTGGGAGTTGCAGTGGGAGTAAGTCGTGTCTAGGAGTTAGGCCAAAGATTAGCAATAAGATTGTGAAGGATATCCTGTGTACCAAGATTCCACGGTGTTACTGTATCACAATTATAATTACAATATTGGTACACAATACTGACAAGTAGATAAATAACACACATGTACAACACCTGGGTATCTTTACGTGGGTATCTTTACGCTGAAGATACTTCACCAACCAGTAATAAAGATACCCTTGACCGTTGACCATGCAGCTTCATTTGTTTAAGATAAGGAAAAGATTTTTCTCGGACTATTAACCAGGATGCTTAGTATCCCAAGATAACATAATTGTGTGCGCCATCGCAAACTTTATCGTATTTCCACTGAAGTCTTTTAATCCTCTTCCCCAGGATGCGACTCACAACAGTCGGCTAACACCCAGGTACATACTTTCTGCTAGATGAACACCTGGCAGTAGGTATAAGGAAACATTCCCCAACCTTTCACCTGTGCCGGGAAACGAACCCCGGTCCAAAATTATTAATATGCTCGATCCCATACTATCTTTCGAAGATAATACAATATATTTTTTTTTGTAATTTTAAACTCTTTTATATATATGTTCTCTCTTATTTTTTGTTATACAAAATCTGCAGAATAAATTTCGTTTGGTTAATACTTGCCTAATTAACCTCGGTTACGCAAGACTTGCCAGACGCTACTTCACCATACCATGGTACCTGGAGTTTACCTGGAGAGGGTTTCGGGGGTCAACGCCCCCGCGGCCCGGTCTGAGACCATGCCTCATGGTGGATCAGGGTCTGATCAACCAGGCTGTTACTGCTGGCCGCACGCATGCTGACGTACGAACCACAGCCCGGTTGGTCAGGTACTGACTTTAGGTGACTGTCCAGTGCCTTCTTGAAGACAGCCAGGGGTCTATTGGCAATCCCCCTTATGTATGCTGGGAGGTAGTTGAACAGTTTTGGGCCCCGGACACTTATTGTGTTGTCTCGTGGCGCCCCTGCTTTTCATCGGGGGAATGTTGCATTTCCTGCCGAGTCTTGTGCTTTCAGAGGGAGTGATTTTCGTGTGCAGGTTTGGTACCAATCCCTCCAGGACCTTCCAAGTGTATAATATCATGTATCTCTCGCCTGCATTCCAGGGAAAACAGATCAAGGACCTTCAACCGTTCCCAGAAATTTAGGTGCCTTTTCGTACTTATGTGTGCCGTGAAAGTTCTGTGTACACTCTCCAGGTCTACAACGTCGCCAGCCTTGAAGAGGGCCGTTAGTGTAGTGGGGCGTCAGCCTCTCCTTCCTCCGATACTGGTTCACCTTATTGTGGTAAGAGGGGATTCTGCTGGCCTGTTTTTCCCTCTTTCTCTGAAGCTGGTTCACAACCCCCCCCCCCTCCGACGAAAGACCACCTTTACTGGACAATATCCTCATTACCCTCTCAGTCTCCCATATCGAGATGTCAGATTTTAACACCTTGCATAAGTCCTATCCTGCGTGACGGACTGTGAGAGAAAAACATGAGTAGCTTTCGTTCTACCGAATAACTGTCATATAGAGCAGGGAAGCAGCACACTGCTGAGGTATTCTATTTTGTTTAATAAATAAAAATAAGGATTCCTTTACTTTACCTTGCTCTGGCGAAACAGCCATCAGCTCATTTATCGTCCTAAATACCTGGATTTTTTTCTCTTTTTCTCAAAATTTGCTTCGACTCATGATGTGAACTGAAGTATATTGTTTTATTACTTTTTTTATTATATATTAGTGAAAAGCGTCCTGCTATTGACCCATATTACTGACCAGAGGCCTGATATTATATTAGTGACTAGAGACAAGGTTTGGATCCGTGCGTTACCTGAGACTTTATAATGATCTGTAGCTAGGGAACGGCAGGTTCTGGCAGGCTCTGGCAGGTCTTGGCAGGTCCTGGCAGGCTCTGGCAGGTCCTGGCAGGTCCTGGCAGGCTCTGGCAGGTCCTGACCTAAGTCCCGCATCCCACGCAAGATTTATATGCCATTGGCAAAGTTTCGACAGCGATTACGGGAGCGTGTCGGCCCAACTGCTAAAAAAAACCATCTTTTCCCTCACTGCCTCACGGGGCATAGGTAGATGGGGGAGGTAGGACAATCAGGTAATGTTATCCTCCCTCTTTTTTTTTCTTCCTTTTTTTGGTCTAATCATATTTTATCAATTGTTTTCTTCCTTCTGCTCTTCTCATATATATAATAATATCCTTGCTATATAGCCCTCTGTGGTTTTGCGCTTTTTTTTTTATAAAATCTCTTTCTATCAATCTTCTCTTCTCTCTCTTCTCTCTCTCTTTCTTCATCTCTCTCTCTACTCTTTGTTCTCTTTTCTTTTATCTCTCCTCTCTCTCTCTCCTCTCTCTTTCTCTCTCTTTCTCTCTCTCTCTCCTCTTCCTCTCTCTCTCTCTCTCTCTCTCTCTCTCTCTCTCTCTCTCCTCTCCTCTCCTCTCTCTCCTCCTCTCCTCCCTCCTCCCTCCCTCCTCCTCCCCTCCCTCCCTCCTCCTCCTCCCTCCCTCCTCCCTCTCTCCCTCTCCCTCTCCTCCCCTCTCCCCTCTCCCCCTCCCCCCTCCCCCCCTCCCCCTTCCCCTCCCCCTCCCCTTCCCCCCTCCGCTTTCAACTTGAGATTAAAGTTGATTCTTATGACGCCATATGTCGAGAGGAAATCTTCAACTTGGGTTCGTAGTCAGCGGAGCGAAGGAGCGATCTCACTAAACCCTTTCACTTCTCCTGCACCTCACGGGGATTACCATAGGGACTGTCGATCCACACCAGCATCCAAGTCTATTAACTTGCCCATTCAAGCCTCTGATCCGGATTCGTAGTGACTTGTGTGCATTGCGTTCGTGCTAATCCGTATCAAACTCCCGACTGCAAGGGAAGCAGTTTATAGAGAAGCACGCAGGTTCCCTTTGGTATTAGAGACTCGAATCAGAAGATGGTATCTATGTTGTGTACTTGCCAATCCATAAAATATACATCGAACAACTTTTTTTATATATACACATCATGATGGTAGATCTTAAAAGTAAATTTAAAAAGTTTGGACCTAAAGATTACAATATTAGATTCAGAATATGGTTATAAATGCAGATGAGACGCCATGTCTAAAGTGAGACCACTAAAGTCTGAGTTGGAAGAAAACGAAATGTAGATGATGCTAAGATCATGAATACGATTACGGAGATAATGTGTATAATACACGAGGACCTGAACACTATGGGGATACGACGAGTGTATGTGTGTGGGGGGGGGGGAGAGGACAAGGCCCTCTAGTACAGGTACATACTTGAATATTAATCAGACACTCCAAGGATGTAATTGTTATTATTTATGGGAGCTCGTGGATATGATCCGGACCTACAAGGTGACTTATTTGAAGAACCCAGTAATGTCAGAAGGATCAACAGGGGCAGCTGTTTTAAGAACCCAGGGATATAAGGATCTTCAGGGTAGGTGTTTTAAGAATTCTATTTCGGCTTCTGTGTATTGCAATACTTACTTTCTCCTTATTCTAAGTGTCTGTGTGTTTTCTAGGGTGTGTGTGGTAGGTGGTGCCCCGGGGTGAGTCATGGGGTCCTGGGCATCATGCTGGGCCATCCTACGACGAGAGTTTAAGCTAAGCAACTTCATGCTTGACCACCAGGATCCCCATCTCTTCCTTGCTGCCGAGGTAAGTCTTATTTTTCAGCAGGTCTGTGCTCACGTCTCAGAGATTCAGCTGCCCATGACTCTTAAACCTGAAGTGAGGCAGCGGAGAGGGAACATGAGACGAGAATGTTGCCACGGCAAGAGAGGAGGAACTCTCACTACGTGCGGCTATTCCATACAATAATTATACGGGTGCACCCACAACTGCAGGGAAACAGCATCAGAGAGCTGCTTCCCTGTATGTTATATGAGTTACGTTGTGGGAAACGTCAGCTGTGTTACGGCTGCCTCACTCTACGTGGGAATATATGCTAGCTATGTTCTCCTGTCATATCCAAGGTTAATGTAAAGAAGCAGGGAAAAAGAGAAGGAGGAGAATGAAGACGGAAGGGAAAGGAAGAGGAGGAGAAGTGAGAAAGGAAAGGAAGATTATGAAGAGGTGGAAAAGTTCATCTCGCTCCTGCCCGCCTCCTTTCTTCCTCTCTCTCTCTCTCTCTCTCTCTCTCTCTCTCTCTCTCCTTGATTTTTTCTTCCACTCTTCGTCTTCTCACCCATCCGTCTATTTAAGACATTACTAGCCTGTTCCAACTTTGTTATCACTATGTTTCTATCATTTTCTCATGTGTTCTCACCACTTTCTCAGTGTTCTCATCGTGTTATCACGTATTCTAAGTGTTCCCATCAGGTTCCTGCATTGTTTCTATCATGTTCTTCCTCTGTTCTCACTATTTTTCTCATAATTTTCGCACTTTATTCTCATAATTATTTTTATGTGCTCAACCTGATCTCAGTCTCGCCTATTCTCATTATTTTTTCTCATTATCTTACCCATTTCCAACCTCGTTCTCATCCCGTCATCACGCTGTTTTCGTTACACCTAATTTTCATTATGGTCTCATGTTCTTACCTATTTCCAATCATGTTCTTACCCTGTTCTCAAACGTTCTCACCTTTCAGTGGCAGAGACACCCAATCTCGAGCGTGCGGGCGTGGTACGTGGCCTACAGATGGGCGTGGGCGCTGTACCACGTCTCGTGGTGGGCCGCCAACTTTGCTCTGGAGGGCGGCATCGATGCTCCCATCCAGCGTAAGGCCTATCATTTCATCTACCTCACCAACTGGGCCTACCTTAGCATAGCCGTAAGTAGCAGTGGTATAAGTTGCTTGTAATATGACCGGTGTTGTTGCAGAACATCCGATAGCCATCACATACTGTGCCCTGTGACCTGCTGGCTAACGCTGTCACTGCACACGGCGAGGTAGAAACATTGGGCGTGTTTCATTACACCGGTTGTCTATGCTCCCTATCAGTAAAATGCGTACCTGGGTGTTGGTTGACTGGTGTGGGTCGCATCCTGGGACAAAACTGACCTAATTTGCCCGAGATGTTCTGCATAACAAGCGGCTTTCTATATAGCAGTATGTCGCTGATGTCAGCTATACCGGTATACCTTGTACATATACTTGTAGAAATATATTATTATTATTATTATTATTATTATTATTATTATTATTATTAAAATTACTTAAACCAGTAACTCGCTTCCTGAGCACAAGTCTTGGAGCAGGTACAGGCAGGTTCGCCAGGACGAGTCCTAACCCGGGACAAGTCTAGGGAAATGGTAAAAATAATGAAGTGTAAGCAAATAGTCAACAGTCTTTCGTGAGAACTGACTGTGAGTGGCATTAAAGGTGGGTCTACGGGAGACAGAACAGTTAAGTTAGTCACACTAGTGTCCAGACAAGAATAGTGTAATTACAAATCAGAAGATTAGCTTTATACAAGCCGGGAGTAAAAGTGTATCAACCTGTACATCAAAATATGTTCTATGTCCTCCCGCTTGACAGTTACATTTTCAAAGGAAACACAAATGTTACAAGTAACATTGTTGTACTATCTTATTTTGCATACAGCGAAGTTCAAAAGACAGTATGCAGATACATGATGGACTCAGAGGCTAAGTCCAACAACAATGTAAATCCTCACTTACAATGCAAATTGAATACCCATCATACTTTCCCTTCCTTGGTTTAAATATCAATACACCGTCCCGTTGCTACGGGTGGGCCCCTGATTGGCCCCGTAGAGTTAGGCACTTCCTCAGCGCAGTATGTGGCCACTTTGATAAACACACTGACAGCTATCATATTGTGTGCCTTTAATATAATGATAAAATTCTACACTGAACAAACGTCTCACGAACTACAATTTCCACAGGGTAGTACATGAGTGGTGTGAATTCAACCACTGGATCGGTCCAACAATATACGGTAGCTCGGCAGCAACGTTAACAGCAACTGCCCATCACAGTGTGGGTGCAGACAAGTGGTGAGGTGGTGTGACCGTCAGAAGTTGTGTACACTGGAGCACGTGGCGACCCGGTCAGCAAGTGGTGACCCGGTCAGCAAGCAATGATTGAATAATAATGAGTACATCACACCGAGGATGGTGAAGGGTTGCTACTATTAGTATATACTATAGTATAGACAGTGATTTAGAATATATACAAGTCGACCTACTATAGATGATATAGTGGTTCATGACACTCAGCTTCATAACTCGAAGGTGGATCCAGAGATCATGGCCCCCGCGACTCGGCCCCATATCAGGCCTTTCCCCCAGTAGATTAGTTTGTTAGAATTTTGCTGTAGTAGCTGTTGTAGTTTCATTAGATATAATGTTTAAAATTTTCTGCTGGAGTTCTGTAAACAATGTAAGTAACAATCGTAGTGTTAATGGTGATCGTAGTGTTGATGTATTGTTGTGGATTGTAGGTAATAATGTTGACTCGTGGTACTAGCAATAGTGTCTACATATCAACTAGTTGTAATATTTATATCTTAGTACTAATTATTTGTCTAAGTAGTGACTGTAGTAATATTAGTGATTTTGGTAAATATTTTAGCAATAGTGACTAGTAATTGTAATGTTTAGTAGTGGTGTAGTAGTAGTAGTGGTGGTGTAGTAGTAGTAGTAGTATCAGTAGTAGTAGTAGCAGTGACGGTGTTTAGCAGTAATGTAGTGGTTGTCTGATGTTTACAACAACAACAAAAAGTTGGCTAAAAAAAAAAAAAACGTTCGAAGACAAGCTTCTAAATGGCTTTCAATTAAACATAATAAAAGTTGATAAAAGTTAAGAAACTCACTTAGACTGGTGAGAGGGAGACAAGATAACTACATATACATATAAAGTCATGAAAAGAATACGAAAAGAACTATTTCTTAGCACCATCGACAAGGGCAAACAAGCGGCCATAGTTGTACATTAAGAAAAAGTTTTTCTTGAGAGTTGCAGAATAATGAAATAATTAGACTCGAGAAGAGGAAGCAAGTGTTAAAACCACCGGAATTAACACAAAATATATATGATAGATCAGATATTGAAGACTCGATTCCATAAGTGTAGTTCTCAATGGAACAGAACCAGCAAGACATCCTATTGGGACAAGTGTTCCACAAGGAAGATTGCTGGGGCCATTGTTATGGAATGTCTACTTCAATGACCTTCTTCATCTCATCCCAGAATCCCATGCATATGCAGACGACTGTACACTGACATTCACTTATCCAAGAGAAGAAATGCCAACTGCTCTAAGCTACATCAATCACCAGCTAAGAGCTATATCAGCTTGGGGAAATAGATGGCAAGTAACATTTGCACCTGAGAAAACGCAAATGATGATAGTCTCTAGGCACCATGATGGTAATGCTGGTGCAGTAGTAAGGATGAATGGGAGGGTGTTGGCACCTGGAGAAGAAGTTGATATCCTTGGGGTGAAATTTGACTCCAAACTACCTGAAGAACCATGTTTTAAATCTGCAACAGAAGCAGCCAGGAAGCTTACAGCACTTCGCCGTATCTCGCATCTGCTTGACAGTAGGGGTTGCAAGATTCTGTACGAGGCACAAGTAAGCTCACACCTTGAGTATGCTCCACTTTCTTGGTTTGTCTGCCCCCTCCATCTCTCATCTGCGACTGCTTGCAGAGTAAGAACAGAGCAAGACCGTCTCATCTCTGGCCTAGACCCATTCCTGGATAGATCTGTCATTTCAGCAGAGCCTTCAACACAGGAGGGATGTGGGTGGCCTTACTGTTATGTACAAGGCCAATATTGTCAAAGTCCACACTTGGATCCACTTCGAGGACAGCGTGAAAAAGCTTTTATGCACAATGACGGGCAGAAACAGCAACTTCACTCTGGCTGTACCTTCTCCAGAACATCACTCCATCTGAGATCATATATACCCAGGATGACTCGAGTATGGAACATATTCCTACAGCATAATGATGTCAACGAGATAAAGTCAGTTGATCACACGAAAGTGCTGGCCCACAGATGGCTCCAACTTCATCCTGTTCCTTACTTGTATGTCTCATAACAATGAAAATGCTTTCAAATGAGCTGATGTACGTAACAGCTCTTAGCTTGCCAATAAAGTTAGGAATCCTTAACCTGTAAATAACTTGTCAATAAAGCTAGGGATCCTTAACCTTGTCAAACCCTGTGGGAAAAAAAAGTATAAATCTGCTCTTGAACCTACAGATAGTTAATCTGAAACTGATGATCTCTCTCTCTCTCTCTCTCTCTCTCTCTCTCTCTCTCTCTCTCTCTCTCTCTCTCTCCTCTCTCTCTCTCTCTCTCTCTCACGCATAACAATAACAACAGTTCATGTTGTATTGCAACAGACAGAATATTTAATTTTTCTCTAAGTGTGACACACGCAGATATATGCAATACTTTGTATACACTGAAATACACTTGCTATGTAGATGAATAAACTAAGTTCACAAAAGACAGATTAATTAGTCATGGTGTGTAGCTGGACTAAATGTTGAAGGTTAATTAGCTTAGTTTCCCAGATGAAGGAGTTGGGAGAGTTTTAGACGAGTTAAACTTGGATGAGATTCTGTAGCCTCGTGTCTTTGTCGCTTCCCTCGTCATCTTTATCTGCCCTGTCCATCTATTATTCCCCTGTGTCATCTATGTCCTTCGTTCCTCCCCATGTCCCAGTTCCCACCTTTCTAGCCTCTTCCCCTTCCCCTTTTCCCGTCTCTTTTATTCACCCCCTCTCTTCTCTCCTCTTCATGAATCTCCACTCTCCCATTTTCTCTCGTTCTTTTTCCTTCTCTCTCTCTCTTCCCTTCCGATCTTTTTTCCCTTAACTTCCCCATCTTTTGGTCCCCTTTCCATCTTTCTCTCTCCCCTCCCATGTGTCCCCAGACTATCTTCACTCTTCCTCACTCTCCAGCTCTGATACTCCAGCTGATAAAGCAGAGAGGTTTGATAGAATGAAGGAATGATGGTAGGAAAGAAGAGGGGAGAAAAGAGGGAAGAATGGAAGGAAAGAAGGGAGAATGGAAGGAAAGAATACTGGAAGGAAAGAAGGAAGGATGGAAGGAAAGAAGAGGGAAGGAAAGAAGGAAGGATGGAAGGAAGGAAAGAAGGGAGAAAAGAATGATGGAAGGAAAAAAGATGGAAGAAAAGAAGAGGTGAGGAATGAAAGAATGATGTAAAGAAGGGAGGAAAGAATGAATTATGGAAGGGAGTAATGAAGATTGTAGGGGGTACAAAAATAAGCTACAGATGCTGGAAGGGTGAAACAGAAGAGGTAGGTAGGAAGGAAGGAAGGAAGTAAGGAAGAGAGGGAGTCAAAAATAACATTCCACACAAGGGACACCTTCATTCCATCACTCCGATGGTTCCCAAATGTAACTGGCGAGGACGCTGAGACTAATTGGTCCTTGGAGAATAGTTAATAGGATGCTGAAATAGGACGGGGAGAAGGTGAAATAGAACTGGAGGAGGATGAAATGGGGCGGGGGGATGAAATAGGGTAAAAGGGAAATGAAATGGGCGGGGGTAGGATGAAATAGGGAGGAGGGTGGGGGGGGGGGAAGGGGATGAAATTTCTTAACCGATTTTTTCAAGCTGCACCCGTCCAGCTACTGGCCAGATCCAACAATGCTTAACTTGACTGAGCTATGATCGCTGCCTACGCTGCACCGTGCCAGGGTTTCAGTTGATCATAAATACTGTCTTTATTGATCATAAACATCATTGATCATAAATATTGTCTTTATTGATCATAAACACTGCCTTTATTTATCATAAACATTGTTCGTCATAAACATTGTCTT